GTCCTTGAGCTCCGACGTCGTTTGGGTGCAGTTGCTGGGGGGGCACGGGCGCGTTCTCGACCTCGCCGCCCATCTGGATACTCGCGCCCCCCAGCGGGACCCATTTCCACCTCTAAGAAGTTTCTTGGGAATTGAATTAAAGTCTGGATCGAGGAGCCCCGCGTTCATGCGCCAGTGTCGCGGATCTGGAAGGGCGTCGGCGATCAGCTCAAGGGAGTGGCGCCGCAGCACTGGGCAAGGCGCGCGCGAGGGCCAGTTTCAGGCCTAGCGCGTAATATGTGACAAGTTGGTTTGGGCCCCCACGGCCCTGCTGAACGGCATCTCCCGTCAGATTAGATCGACCCAGCTAGGGAGATTCCAGGATTGAAGTTTGATGCCAGCAATTTAGAATCGGCTTCCTGAGCGCAGTGCTGCTCAACGATTTCGAACAAACCTGCCAGCGCTTGGTTCTGGACAGAGGCGTCAAAGTCTTTCTGTGGCGGCGGCATTAGTCTTCGCAAACAAATGGTGCAGTTGGAGGCCCTCCCGCAGGGCGGACGATTGGCTGCGTTGTTACTTGCGATTGCAGCGGGGGGCGCTTGAACAGAATCTAGGTGCAAGGAATGCGGACACGATTGTTCAGGTTTGTGCGTGCACGCGTTGTCTTCAGCAAGTGGCTGAGACTCTTTTGCGCCGATATTGATTATGCTTCTGCAATTCGGATTCGACTACCTCCGACATGACGGAGGACTTGTGCCATCGTGCGGTGGCGCAGGCCAACATAGCTGGGAGTTCCTTGCTTCGCGGTCTAATTCCTGGGGGTCGGACCAGAGTTGATCGACCGACTCAGACCTGAGAAATGGACATGCGCGGGACAAGGCCATGCGAGCAATTTTTCTTTCAGTTCAGATTCAGAGGGCAAGCCTCTGATCAGTCATGGAAATGCTTCAGGAGGCGCGGACACGCACGACCCACGATTTCGTCGAGTAGGGTTGTTAGCGGCCGCGCTTCATGATGATGTTTTTGCCGATTGTCCTCGCCGGCCGCACTTCATGATGATGTTTTCGCCGATTGCCCTCGCGTGCGCTGCCCGCTCCCAGGCGACCGCCAGATGGTTGCAAGAGGAGAGTTGTATATGCTGGAAGAGGCTATTCGGTGGTTTTCGGGGCCAATGGTGTATATCGCAGACAAGCAGGAAGTTTGCCGCGGGCGGTGGGCAAGAGCCTTCAAGAAACCTACGGGGCGAGTTCGGACATATGGCGTCTCATACGCGGTCATTTGCAGACACGGTCGTACGGCGAGATCGCGGTGATGAATGTCCCATCGCACACTGATGGCCAACAGGCCGTTGAGCTAAAGCTGCCCTCGTGGATGGTGGCTGGCAATGTATATGTGGACACTTGGGCAGCCGTAGCTGCCAAGGAAGCCCACGCTCTTGAACGCCAGCGGGCCAGACTTCTGCAAATTGAAAACGATGCCAGGCTTGTGCGCGTGTGTTTCCTTCTGATTACCATACAAACTGCAACTCGTCCAGAGAAGAGGAAGAAAGCAAATGCTCCCGCCGCCCCGCCACCTCGTGAGTCGTTGGTTGCCCTGACATCATCCACCCACCAAGTCGACAGTTGTGGGGAAAATGCCATGTGCGTAAATCGTTTTCGTCTGAGGCCAACGTGAAAGCCTGGCTGTGCACACCCTGTTTCCCGCTTGAATTTGCGACGAATGAGTTTTCACAGCTGGCTGTCGGTCGGTTCTTGGATCTCGCGGGGGGGAAGGTCCACAGTTCCGATACAATGAGATCCCACGAATCTCTGAATTTTTGGTTCTATGTTAGCTGCGGGTCCTTTGGCCAGGCCCGTGCCTCCCAATCACAGCTACAGGCAAAGAGTACCTCCGTCGTTTAGAGAGAGATCAATGGGCTAAAGTGCTCAGCAAGGACGAGCAGGCGGCCAGGGCTTAATTTATATAGACTCTTTTCGCGACTGCTTTCACTTCACCTCACCTGCCCTCCTCCACCTCCTCCGCCTCCTCCTCATCCTCCTCCTCCTCCTCCTCCTCCTCTTCCTCCTCCTCCCCCTCCTGCTCCTCCTCCTCCTCTTCCTCTTCCTCCTTTTCCTCCTCCTCCTCCTCCTCCTCCTCCTCCTCCTCCCCCTCCTGATCCTCCTGCTCTTCCCTCCTCCTCCTCTTCCCTCCTCCTCCTCCTCTTCCTCCTCCTCTTCGGGCCACGAAACAAGTGAGGGGTGTGCCGGCATGGACCCGAGTCAGCATGCGAAAGAAGCCAGTGGGGTCTTCGGTGGAGCACCTTGTGGTGCCACGAAACGTGTGAGGGGCGTGCCAGAATGCACCCGAGTCACCACGCGGACGCAGCCACTGGGGACTTGAGTGGAGCTGTCTATTGGCCCATGAAACGCGTGAGCCAGAATGGGCCCGAGTTCCCACGCAGACCCTGCCAGTTGGGCCTTCGGTGGAGCTCCGTATGGGAGCACGAAGCGTGTGATTGGTGTATCAAAATGGGCGGGGCCTTCGGTGGAGCTCCAATGGGGCAACGAAACGTGTGACTTGTGTGCCAAAATGAAGCGTCTGAAGGCTGTGCCGAAATGAAACGCGCGAGGGGTGTGCAGAAGCTGGCCAGGGCAGGAAACGGAAGAGAAGGAGGGGGAGGAGGAGGAGGAGGAGGAGGAGGAGGAGGAGGAGGAGGGGGCGGAAAACGAGGAGGAGGAGGAGGAGGAGGATTAGGAGGGGGAGGTCCGTAGCCATTTTGGCTCAAGCCATTTTGGCTCGAGTAACATCTGTGGACTCCCCCGCGCCCGAGGAGGCGTCCGACGTGCCCGCAGACTCCACAGGCGGCTGCCCAGCCAGGAGTCTGCATCCTTTTCTTTCCCTTGTTCGGTCAGCGGGCCAGCAAGGACACACCCTCACTGTACACCTCAGGTATTGTAAGGTTCGCGCGTCTTCCCTCGTCCAGCAGGCCATGTCGCATGGCGCCCCCTGGCGAGAGAACCAGCAATCACGCTGGCGATGTGAGGCATGTGGCTGCGGGAAAAACTTGTGGAGTATGCCAAATGTAAGCATTGTGGCCGTCACTGGAAGCAAGTCTATGTCAAGCCCGAGGGCGAGGCCAAGGATGCCGGCGTCACCAACGGCGGCAAAGCCAAGTCCAAGGGCAAGTTCAAGGGGCAGCTGGGCCTGGCTGACGCTGCTCCTCCCGGTGCCCTTCCTTCAGTGGCTGGACTCGCCGAGTCAGAGGTGTAACAGTTCATCTTGTTGGCCCGCAAGGCAGGCAATACCCAGTTGGCAAAGCAGTATGAGATGGCATGGAAAGCCTCGCTCCCACAGCCACCAGACCCGCCGAAGGCTCGAGCAGACAAGGCAGGCCAGGAGATCAACCGGCTCGAGCAGCAGCTCCTCGACCAGCGTGATGCTCTCGAGGCCCTGCAGTCAAAGCTCGACGAGCAACGGGTCAAGGTGGAGACCACTCGCGCTAAGCTGGCCGAGGCCGACGAGACCTACTCCCAGGCCATCAAGGAGCTCCACGCGGCGGTCGTCCCCGCCAAGGAGCCTGGCTCAGAGGATGTGCTCACGATCAGCCTCGACCAGCTGCTCGACGGGAAAGCTGTTATCAAGTTCGGTGGAGTGGAGTCTCTGTTCGGCCTGGCCGACTACGAGGATGTTGATGAGTCCGGCTTGCAGCAGGCCCAAGGGGAGAGAGCAAGAGCTGCTGGACAATCTGTCGCGGTCGGCCACGGAGTTACTCGGAGCGGCCCGCGACAAAGCAAATTCGGCGAAGGCGGAGCACGAGCAGGTCAAGGAGCGCCTCAAGGGCAAGAAGCGTAAGACTGACTTTTGCGAGGCTGCTCCGACAGGCGCGCCAGCAGGCGAGCCGTCTGCTGCTCCAGAGAGTGCTCCACCAACAGTGGGAGGGGTCATGGGCATGGGCAAGGGCAAGGGCAAGGTCATCGGCGGACCTGACCCTCGAGCTCGAGCCCAAGGCCTTCTCAAGACCGCGGCCAAGGAGGACACGCCAGGGCCATGTTCCTAGTGGTGCTGGAGTACCTGCAGCCAGTGATGCCCCCGCTGGTGTGCAGGTTCCGCAAGGAGCCGCTGGGATGGACTTTGCCGATCCACCTGGCGTTGCTTCGGCTACTACGGCTACTGCGGCGACATCGGGCCCGTCGGCGGCGCTGCGTCGAGCTTCGAGTAGCCATACGATGTGGTCGGTATTGGCTGCTGCGGATTTCTGGTCGAGTAATGCTGTTGACAATACCTGGCCTGATGTTGGATTCCCGGTCCCAGCTGCTAGGCCCGACTTAGTCTTCGAGGATGCTCGGCACGACCCGCGGCATTCGTCCACTGCGACTACGGCGGCGTTCTGTACGAGGGCTTCCGCGTCGACCTCGGCTTTCGCGTCGACGGGCGTGGGCCCCCCAGCCCCTGAGAAGGTGGAGACCTCTCCGAGGAGCTGGCACCTGCGCGGCCTGGGTCCTGAGGAGCCCAGGGACCCGCAGGAGGACCCCCTCGGTTGGGAATCGCTGGAGGAGCTGGGGGGAGCGCCACAGGTGCTCCATGTTCCTGGTGACCGTCGCCAACAGGATCACGATGTTCCTGATGAGCCTCCCTCCTCCCCGCGTTTTGCTCAGCCACGCTTCGAACAAAAAACAGCGTCGCGGACCCGAGGCGGAAGGATAGAGCCGCGCTTCATCCAGAGCGGGGAGTTCGGGGCTCACGTTCTTCGGCTTCACCAGCGCCATCTGATGGCCTCTCGGGACCACCTGAGGGCTCTAGGCGCCGCATGCCTGCTGGCGTCGCACAGAGGCACCAGCACGCGTCTAGGTTTAAGTTGTCACAGCCCCTTCCGAGAGAGCCCCCTGTACAGGTCCCTGGTAGGTTCTCTCGCAGTCGCCAACGCAGAGCCCGACGTTTCCTGGTGGAGACGTGCAATACGACATCTTGGGGATCGCTGCTACCGTATCTTAAGAAGGAGACGGAGGCCTCTGCGGTGTTCCTCCAGGAGATCGGGGCACAAGGTGACTCAGTGAAGATTAGGGAGGACCCCTTAAAGAAGCTAGGTTGGGACATCGCGCTGAACGCGTCGTTGGCCACAGAGGCTGGCGGAGTGTCGCCAGGAGCGGGGATGGCTGTTCGCAGACACACCAGCATGGGGAAGCCCCCCAATGTCACGCGTGCTCTGCCCAGCCCCCATCGGGTCAAGGTGACCTACATCAACGCGTTCATCGAAGGTGGCTTCTTGGGAGTGACCGTGTACCTGGATGAGAAGGATCCCTTGGGCCCCGAGGGGTGCCAGATCCTGTCGCGTCTCGGGGGGTACCTCTTTGGCATGGGCATCCCGTTCATTATAGGAGCTGGCTGGGATTACACTCCAGAGCAGTTGTCTGACGGGGATTGGCCAGAGCGTCTTGGAGGATGCATCGTCTCAACCTCGGAGCCAACGTGCCGTTCAACAGGGAAGTCTTGGCGCTGCATTGATTTCTTCATTGTCACTAGGGCCCGGCAGAAGGTTGTCAGAGGTGTTCAGAGAAACGAGGCCACAGGTATCCAGACGCACTGGCCCATCACCCTCACGTTGTCTGGCCAGCCGCTAGACTCGAAGGTTCGGGTCCTGCGCAGGCCGCGCGCCTTTCCTCGTGACCTCCCTGTCGGCCCTGCACCCGAGCCGCCAGAATGGTCAGAGCTCATCTCTGCCGCCAGCTCGCGCGGCTCCCAGCAGCAGTTAGACACTACCTGTTTGGCCTTCTTCCAGAAGATGGAGGAGGAACTGTTGGAGGCTCACGCCATCGACCCGCTCGAGCGCCCCAAGTACCGCGGGCGAGGCCAGCCTCCCAAGTTTGTTTGGGCCCCTGCTCTTCGGGTTGCTGGTGGCGCTTATCCCGTTGGGTCCGCGGAGTCCAGGGGCCGGAGGCAAGTTGCCAACTGGGCTTTCGAGCTCTACCATATTTCTAAGAAAGGTGTGTCTTGGGGTGATGACGAATGCGTGAGATTGATCAACCGACTCATCAAGGGGCCAGCTCGTCTGCTCACCTGCAAGGCCTGGCAGGGTTGGCTGCCCTCGCTCGACACTCTGTTCTTGTACACTACGAAGGAGTGGCACGACATGTTTGTTCGGGCCACCAAGCTCGCCATTAAGTGCGAGTCGCGCTTCAAGAGCGAGCGCGGAGCCAGGTGGCGCCAATAGGTAGCCGAAGCCGTCAGCCAGGGCGGGGGAAAAGCCCACAAGCACACCAAGCCTGCCGTCGGTTGGGCCCCCCGCGTCAGCCTGAAAGCCCCCCCCACACACACACACACACACACACACACACGCGCACACGCACACACACACACACACACACACACACACACACACACACACACACACACACACACACGCACACGCGCACCTGGGCCGCAGCAGCAGGTGGATGAGCTGCTCAACTTCTGGATCCAGGTCTGGACCCCCCACCCTAAGGCTGGCCAGTTCCCAGACCCTCTCCCTTTTTCTGAACCAGAAGCTTCAGGAGCAGGCCCAGGCGAGAGGAATGGAAGTCGCCGATCTTTGCCCAGCTTCCCGACAGCCAGCCAGCTGAGATACGAGCAGCTGCAAAGAGTTTCAAGTCCTTCACCGCCATGGGAGCGGACATGCTCCACCCTCGCGAGTTCGGGGACCTCTCTGATGGGGCTATGGAGTGTCTTGGGCTCCCCTGGTACTGGCAAGAGGTTGATGGGCTCTTGAGTACTTGCATCTCCCTGATCCTCTTGACGCAGTTATTGAAACCTGAGGGGGGCTATCGGCCCATTGGAATCATGACTGGAGTGTCGAGGGTCTTCGGGAAGATCAATAGGGCTGAAGCGGCGTCTTGGGGGAGAGACCACTGCAGGAACTATCAGCACGGGGCCCAGGGACGTTCATGCGTGCAGGCCGTCTGGGAGCAGTCGCTGTCTGTCGAGTATGTCAACCTCCAGGGAGGCACCACGGGGACATCCCTCATGGGCCTCACAAAGGCCTATCATAAGGTCTGCCATTACCTGCTGATCACAGCCGCGGTGAAGTGGAACATCCCGCTGTATAGGCGACGCGTGTGTCTGCTACAGTACGGCGGTCCTCGGGTGCTGAGCCTGGCAGGTGTTTCCTCTATGGTCACGCAGGTTTACCAGACGATCCTTGCAGAATGTCCGTTCGCCACCAGTCTCCTGAGGTTGTTTATGATGGCCCCCCTGGATTCCATGGCCGAAAAGTGGCCGACGGTCTTCCCCTTCAACGTTGTTGACGATACCGCGTTGTTCATGTCAGGTTCCGCGAAGCTTGTGCAGGTTGGCCTAGGCAACGCGACGGCCCACCTCTGCGAGTGTTTGGAAGAGCTCTGCCTGGTCACACCTGACTCCTAGGGGAAAATCGTCTCGTCCTGTAAGGAAGTGGCCCGAGGAGTGGCCAGGCGGTTGGACCGCTGGGCCGCTAAGGCCGTGGATGCCGCTCGGAACCTCGGCTGCGATTTCGGGATGAGGCCCAAGGGGCTAAAGTCTAAGAAGGTGCTCAATTCCAGATTCGGCCAGATCATAGCCAGGCTTGCGAAATTCAGGGGTTTGAGGAGCTCGTTCCACGGCCTGATGAAGATTGTCCGTGGCGGCGCGCTCCCAGCAGGGCTGTTTGGTACGTGCGTCAGAGGCATGGCGGATAGTCGAATCAAGGGGCCGCGGGCGGCCCTTGCGCATGCTTCCTTCGGTGCGGCTAAGGGACGTAGTAGAACGTTGGAGTTCATGCTTTCCAATATCCCTGCCTCAGACCCAGGGTGCCAGGCCAATATGTTGCCGCTTATTCCCTGGAGCCGTGCAGCTCGTGAAGGATGGGCTGCTGCGGAGACTATGCGCGCATGCTTTTCGGCGGCGCAGACGACCCCATCTTTCGCCTGGCAGGATGTTCGAGGGCCAGCTGGGGCAGTAGTGCTTACCCTGAAGCGGCTCGGTTGGGAGGCTCCCAGTTGGCACCAGTGGCTCACCAGATGTAAGAAGCAGGTGGATGTCTTGGATCTTGGGAAGCGGTCTCTTACCAAGCTCATCCAGCAAGACACCTGGGCCCCCATGGGTCTCAGAGTGGGCAGTAAAGTCTAGGGCGCCGTTGGCACCCCCCCGTCAAGCCCCTGGCCTCGCTGGTCTCGGAGTTCAGGCGTGCGGGGGCTCAGGGCGATGTCGAAGCTAGGCGGTTGTCGGGGCTTGTTGCTGGAGGCTGCCCGACCCAGTACACCCTGTATCTTGACAGGCGGGTTACCAGACCCGACTGCCAGTGGTGTAAGGAAGACGTGGGTACCCCGACACACCGTTTCTATCGCTGTATGGGTACTCATGCGCTGCGCCAGAATATGGATGTTGATGAATTGGCCGGCCAGGCCAACGCTTCAGGAGCGGACCCCGTCCTTTTCGGCAGGTGCCTGATGCGTTCGGCCGAGGTGGGCTGGCCACTCGCCGTCCAGACGCCAGCCATCCAGCGGGGCAAGTACCCGCAACATAGATTTTTGTTCCCAGAAGCGTATGTGCATAGCGGCTCCGCGATCGATCCCGAGCTGCCGTTCACTCGGGCAGGCTGGGCCGTTGTCGGCCTGGCCAACGACACGCGTGACATCATCGGCTCCTGCTACGGGCCCCTCCCCCACCCCATCCAGGAGGCAGGGGGAGGGGAGGTCTACGCCCTTTTGATGGCCTTCCAGTTGTGTGGTGCTGGTCCTGTCGCGATCGTCACTGACTGCAAGCTCGTCATAGATGCATGGGAGCGAGGGCCACAGCAGAATCTCGAGCGCCTCTTCTTCAGTGAGCTGTGGGCCCGCATCTTCGAGAAAAGGCGAGGACATAGGACGGGGGAACCTAATCTTGATAAAAATCAAGTCCCACCTCAGCATGACCAAGGCCCTCGAAAAGGGGCCACTCGATCTGGGCCTGGAAGGGAAACAGGGAGGCGGATAGGTTGGCGGATCTGGGTGCCCGTTGCCACCCCCGCAACCCTCTGATCAAGGACCGTTCTGTTTCCCTCTCTGAGCAGGTTCGTATGATCTGTCAGTTGCAAGCGTCGGTTTTACATGCTCTCTCGGAGGGGGATTTTCCAGACGTGGAAAAGGTTAAGGCTCCCAAGAGGCCTCGACCAAGCCCCATTCAGTGGGTTCCCAATCCCAATGGCCACGACGTCCGTTGGTATGGGAAATCTAATCATCGGTTTTGTTGTGCCATCTGTGGGGGCAAAGCGGTTTCACGGACAGGACTGCGCATGGTGCCATGCAGCGGAGTTCCCAGGCTCGCGCGCTCAGCTCACAGCACTCACGTGTTGTGGATTGGCCGCGGAGGCATCGTGTGGTGCAGGCAGTGCGGAGCCTATGGCTCCATGCGCTCCAAGCGTCTCATCGAGATGTGCCATAAGGGGCCCAGGAACAAAGGTGCTAGCCAGTCGTTGGCGCATTTAAAGAAGGGGGTGGACCCCTCTACCCGCATTTCGTTCGGGAAGAGTTGGCTAGCCCCGCCCAGGCAACCCTAGTCAGGTCATCATTTTCCTACCTGGCAGGTTGCTCCACCGTCCACCCCCCTTCGCCCCTCATGCCCCTTTTCCAGTGGCTCGTGCGCCCTGCGGGAGGTGTACCTGTCCGCCAGAGGATCACATAATCACCGGACTAGAGGAGAGGAAAGGAGGTGGTGGTTGCGGTGGTGGTGGTGGTGGTGATGTTGGCCTGGGTAATCATCGAGTGGGGCCGCGGGCACGCGGGCACAGCCCCTTTAGCGGCACCACCTCCCACTCAGGGATGGTTGGGGGACAGCGCAGCTCCTGTCGCGAAGGCCTAGTACCGCAGCGTCACGTTGCCACCCGGTCCGAGAGAGTACCAGGAGGTCCTCTCCATGGGCCCCCCCCCTTCTCCACACCTCGACCACAGGATCGCCCGCGGCACCCGCCCCCAAATACCTAAGGAGCGGGAGTCCCCAAAGCAGGAGGGAGCCACGGCTGGGACCCCAACCTGGGACGAGCGGGACGAATGGCGGGCACCAAGTGATGCGGAGGGGGATGGGCAGCGTGAGAGCTCCCGCTCACCTCCGCTGGGACTTCGCCTGTCCGAGCCAACCCTGGTGCAACCGCAAGGCACAGCTGAGGGGCGATGGGAGAAGGCCAGAGGAGTGACCCCCCCCCCCCAGGTTGGAGCAGGAGGAGGAGGAGGATAAAGAGAAAGAGGAGGAGGAGAGGGAGGAGGAGGAGGAGGAGGAGGAGGAGGAGAGGAGGAAGAGGAGGGAGGAGGAGGAGGAGGAGAGGAGAGGAGGGAGGAGGAGGAGGAGGGGGAGGAAGAGGAAGAGAAAGAGGAGGAGGAGAGGAGGAGGGAGGAGAAGGAGAGGAGGATGAGAAGAAACTGCGCGCTGCGGATTCAAAGCCAGGACCCAACACGCTGGAGGGTTGGGAAAAAAAGCATCAACAAAAACATCGGAGATATGGGTTCCTGGTACCTCGGCGGCGCGCACCAAGGGAGGTAGCGCGAGGGGGGCAACCTTCCAAGCAGGCGGGGTGCTTTTCAGAAGCCTCCTCGAAAACATCGGGAGGGTTACTAAGAAGCCACCTGCCTGCTTAGAAGCCCCACCGCCTTCAGAGAAGACCGCCCCCCTCGCGCCACCCCTCGTGGGCAGAGCACAAATCCGTATCCACGGCCCCGTGGGCAGAGCCCCTGGGCCGCGACCCCGTGGATGCACGGCCGCGTTCCCGCGGGACCGCGCCCTGGAACTCGGCCTGCGACGGCGCGGACATGGACACGCTCGCCGCCCGTGGACCCCCTTGGGGGCGCGCCGCCGAGCGCTGCGCTGGCATCTGGAGGCCCTCTCCCGCCCGAAGGCGACCCCGCGTGGAGCGGCACGGCGGGCGCCGCGGCGTCGTCCTCGAGGTGACGCGGGCCCGCCGTGGTCGCCGCTCGGCCGGCCCGCCCGCCCTGGAGGAGGCACCTGCCTGCCCGTGCCAGGGCAACGTTCTGCAGCCAAGCCGCTGAAACAAGGAGCAGTTTGGGTAAGAGAGGGGCCGGATGTTCCTTGGGGCCTTCTGTGTCTTTTCCGCTCGCCTTCCTCGTGGACGCAGGCGCTTGTGGGGCCGAAAAGGGGCGTCGTTCTTTGTTTATCGTTCCTTCTTTCAGCAGCCCGACTCTACGCCTCACAGATGGGGTCCGAGCAGATGGGGCCGGTGGATCTTGCCGCATCGCCAATGCATCGCCGATGTGGCTCGATATGGAGCCCTACTCTCGCCACGCCGGCGTCGCCGACGCATCGCCGACGGCGCCGATGCATCGCCGAGGCATCGGCGATGCATTGGCGATGCGGCGCGATCCTCCGACCCTATCTACTCGGACCCCATCTGGGAGGCCTCTAAACGTCAGGGTTAAGTCGGGCATGCCCCTCTACTACGGTGATCTGTGCACTTGGAATGGGGTTAACTTGTCTTATTACTTACAAGCATGTCGGCTTCATATGTTTGCGTAACTGGTGTACAAACTCTGCTATAACTGTGTTGTTACTTGCTATCACGTGTCATAACTGTTTACGTTGCCCTTTTCTCAGCCATCCTGTGGTGTTGGGTCTTCGTTTTGAAGAGACAGCGCCCAGCGTTCCTCATCCCCCACCCCCCTCCAAGAATCATCAGCATCATCATAATCATCATCATCATCATCATCATCATCATCATCATCATCATCATCATCATCATCATAATCATCATCACCATCATCATCATCATCATCACCATCATCAGCATCAGCATCATCATCACCATCATCATCATCATCATCATCATCATCAACATCATCATCCCATCATCTCATCATCCTCATGGTCATCACTCCCATTTCGGCACACCCCTTGTGGAGCCATGGGGAGCTCCATCTGAGGTCCCACTGGCCCCGCCCGCACGTGGGCGCCGCCCCCGTTTCGGCACACCCCTCACACGTCTTGTGGCCGCACCGGGGAACTCCGCCTAAGGTCACATCGGCGCCACTCGCATGTGATTGCCACTCCCGTTTCGGCACACCCCTTACACGTTCCCCTCGCACGCTTCGTGGAGCTATAGGGAGCCCCACCTAAGGTCCCACTGGCATTGGCGCCGCCCGCGTGTGAGCGCCACGCCCGTCTTCGGCACACCCCTCACACGTTTCGTGGCCCACAGGGAGCTCCGCCTCAGGTCCCATTGGCGCCGCCCGCATGTGGGTGCCACCCCCGTTTCGGCACACCCTCACAAGTTTCGCGGCCGCTCCGCCTAGGGCCCCATTGGCGCCGCCCGCATGGAAGGAAGCTCGAGGCGGCAGGGTGGAGAATAAGGGCTGCCAAAAAGGCAGCGGGGCGCCCGCCGCATGCTTTGCTCGGCATGTCATGTCCTGCCATGCCGGCAGATGAGCGAGCCTCGTCCGATCATATCTACCCGTTCTTGCCGACCTTTCGCTTGCCCACCTTGGTCGGGGCCTCGACCTTGCTCTTGCCGCCCTTGTTCGTGCCGACCTTGCTCTTGCCGACCTTGCTCTTGTCGAACGTGCTCTTGCCCTTGGTCTTGCTGACCTTGCTCGCGCCGTCCTGGCCCGTGCCGACCTTGATCTTGCCGACCTTGCTTTTCTCGATCGTGCTCTTGCCGTGCTTGCTCGTGCCGACCTTGCTCGTATCGATCTTGGTCGGGTCCTCGACCTTGCTCTTGCCGCCCTTGCTCGTGCCCACATTGCTTGCGTCGATCTTGGTCGTGACGATCTTGCTGTCACCGACCGTGCTTTTGCCCTTGGTCCAGGCCTCGACCGTGAGTGGAGCGGTCCATTTCCATGTTTCCTCCACCATGGATGTTGCCCGTTCCCGCGATAATCCGACGAGCTCTGCAGACTAGCCGTTGTCGAATTGTTGCGTGCACCACCCTTTCACCTCTAGCATCGTCTTCACCTTCTGGAGGTCGTAGACGATGGGCAGTTGGGGTCGTAGACGATCGGGGTAGTCCTCGGATCGTGAACGATCAGGCCTGGGAAAATTCGTCACAACAGCAATATACGAAATTCATCGACTGGCAGCCCGAACCTCACCCGAAACTCACCCGATATTCACCCTACACCTACCCGAAACTCACACGAAACTCACCCGAACTCCTCCCGTCCCGCCATTTTGCATGCAGTGCCAGGCAGCTCACACGCTTCCGCTCGCTCCCGCCGCCGATGGGGCGAGGGAGTGCAGAGAGACAGCCCTTCTCGTGGGCCACGGTTCCGCTCATGATGCTCCCTCAAGCCCTCGTTGAAGCCCCTCGACGTGGACCTCGGCCCCCTCGTGTCCTTCCTCTGAGGACCTCGGCCCTCCGCTGCCCCCCGCCGCGGGCGCCGCCGCCGAGGAGACTCCGCCCCCTGAGCCCACTGCTCGCCCTCAAGCCCTCGTTGATCTGTTTGTGCTCCTCGACCTGGGACTTGTGAGCTCACCGATCTCCCCCTGGGGCGTGAGCAGCCCACCAATCTCCTCCGGAGACTTGGCTTCGCCGATCTCCCCCGACTCGGCACCAACCCGCCATGTTGGATCCCACGGCAGCGTCGTCCCCGACTCGTGGCAGCCCCACCATCGGTTTCCTCGGAGTCATCGTGAAGCACCGTGGCCTCTGCCGGCGCACGGTCAAAGTACCGCGGGCCACGCAGCAGGGATCCACGCATCATCAGATGAGTCATAGCTTTCTGGATTATTGAGCCGAAGCCCTGTAGGTGTTTGCCCTGAGCGTGAAGACTGTTGAGGAGGCTATTGCGGAGCTCCTTGATGTTAGAATTCGTGTTGTTCATGGGCTGGGTCATGTGGTGCATCTGAAACGGAAGCATGCGATGGACAAGGGCTTCCTGATTGCCCACCGACTCCTTCATTATCTCAAGAGAAGCATCAATTCCATCGGCCAGTCGAACACTTTTCCCAGCTGCCCAGATTGCTCTGCTGAGTTCGTCGTCCTCATCATCGAAACGCCGCTTGGCGCTCTGGGTGCTCATCCTCCCACTTGAGAGAAAGAGGGAAGTACTGTAATCGGATGCGTCTTGCCTGAACGAGCCTTATCCCTGCGGGAGGGGTTACGAGTGCGCTTCTGCAGTGCCTGGAGCTGGAGTCGGGAGTGTAGCGCGGGCTCTGTTGCGTCGTGCTTCGGCACGCCCCCCGCGCGCTTCGCGACCCCATTGGGTGCTTCACACACGCCTCCGTGGCCCCTGTTGCTGGCCCCCCCCAGTTTCCCGAGCTAGGCCTTTGTGCGCAATGCCACGGCTGCTTGACTCTTCCTCCGCATCGCTATCGGGCATAGGACTCGCCGGGGAAGGCACGGGGGCGCCGGCATCTGCGGCGCTGACGTCTGAGCGAGCCTCAGGTGAAGGGCTGTTCTGCTTGTCGCGCTGGTCCTTCTCCTAGGCCTGCTGGTCCATCTGCCGGGGCATTTGGCCCCTGGGGCCAGGCTGGGGCAGGGGCGCCCCGATCTTGGGCACCGCCCCCGCGCCCCCTGCCGCCGTTGACGAAGCCGCCGCGCCGCCGGAAGCCCCCGAGGTCGAGGAGCACGACGTCGCCAGCTGCCGGTTCAGCCTGTCGCTCTCGTGCTTCAGCGCGCTGGTCTTGGCCTCCTGCCCCTTCCACCTCATAGCGGCAACGTGGCACTCCCGCGACATCTGAACTGCGTGCCGATTTTGACGTTCCCACCACCACGCCCAGTGATCATGCCATTCGCTGCCCCATGAATGGCCCTTCCACCCGCGGCAACCAGATTGCTGCTCGTACTGTCTGTGCGAGTACGTCCAACGTCTGCCGTCTCCTCGGCTCCTCCACTGTGGGCCCGTCAGCTCGCGAGCTCGGCCGCCGTCGTCGCCGTTCTCTTCGATGAAGTTGGGCGGGCATTACCTTGTCCGGAGGTCATTCGGCGATGAGGCGGTCGCCGCCAGATCGAAAGCAACGTGGGATTCGGCGAGTTATGCCCAGTCGCTCGCCGACTCATCCGACGTGGCCCCACAATTGGGGGTACAGTCGGTGCCTTTAAGAAGGAACCCTTTTCGCTGGGGAGGGGCTCCATGTTCCTTGATTGCTTCAAAGTTTGCCCTGGGTTTTCCCTTGGCTTCCGAAGGGAAATCGAAGTTCAACTTCTGGAGAAGAGGGGCCTCGTTTCTTAGTCAGGGTTCCTTAGGTCAGCGCCCCGACTGTAGCCCCTCGTCGAACAGTCGTGCAATCGCACGGCAGCGCGACGCCCGCCGCGCTCTGCGCCGCTGCGCTGATCTCCCCCCTCGCCGCGCCGACGTCGGCGCGCCGCCCGCGAGCACGGGCAGGGGCCCCGCGCGCGCAGAACGAGGCTCTCCGTCGCGCGCGCGCGCGCGATCGCGCGACGCAGGGGCATGGCGGGGTCGCCTCGCCACGCGGCCGTCTGACCAACAGAGAAAATCCTGCATAAAGAGCAGGTGGCGGAGGAGAGGGGGAGGGGAGAAGGCGGGGGGCGGAGAGGAGAGGGAGAAGGGAAGAGCGAGCCTCGCCGAAGCGATCCTTGCCCCCACGGGCGTGGCCTGGGCCCCGCCGGCCGACTTACTCCCCTGGATGAGGGCACAGGCTGCTCCTGCCGTGCTTCGAAGGGTCCATCCCCAACTGGGGCAGTAAAACTACGGGGCTCGGGGTGGAAGTGGAGATGGTGATAGGGGTCCGTTCCACGATGCTGCACAAGGCGGGGGGGCGAAAGAAGGATGATAACGATTAAGAGACGCGCGGGGCTGCGATGGGCGGGCGGGGCCCGCCTCACCCCCGGCGAAGAAAATCCCATGCGCACCGGGGGCCTGCCCGCGCCCCGCCCCCGGGAGACTCGACTTCGGTCACCGCGCCCGGAAGTGCACGCCCCTCGCGCGCGTCGTGTGGTGGGCTCGTTTTCCACCACCACCACCATAAGTAGGATGGGGAGGGGCTCCTCCTCCTCCTCCTCCTCCTCCTCCTCCTCCTCCTCCTCCTCCACCTCCTTCCCTTCTCCAACTTATGGTGGTGGTGGTGGAAAACATGCCCATCATCGTGCCCGCGCTCTGGCGCGTCGCGCGCGGCGCGTTTCATAGCCGGCGGCGCCGATTTTGACGCGTGGTCCGCACGTTTCATCAGCGCACAAGGTACGTTTCTAGTGTGCTTACGAGTCGGCCATTTGTAATTATATCTGCCTTGTTATAGCTCGTTCCAATTCTTTCAGAACTATGTTATCTTAATAGAATTCCGCTCCCTGGTGTAATTGCTACTGTAAGCTGTGTGTGTTGCGTATATGTTGATTATAAATGGCGCCGCGTTTATAAATGTCCAAGGCTGTTTATATCGATACTCAGCTTCGTTAGTTACCTGTTTGTGTAGCCTATAAAAAAGCACAAATAGCATGCCAAGTGCTAATATCATTGCATCACATAAGGAATACTCAAGGATGGTGAACACAGTCTGGTGACGGTGCGTCGTGCTTGTGACAATACTTGACTGCTTGTTTGACTCTGTTTCACTTGCCTTCCAAGATCCGCCTGTGGGGGGGCCATGCCCGACCTAACGTCAGGGGTGGGGTAAACTCACGGGGTAAGGCAGCGACCCCCAATCGCCCACTCATCGCCGAAAAGGGGCCCGACGGCCCACCCTGCCCAGGAGCGCGCGGTCTCGCTATCGGTGGCCCATCGCCGACGGGTCGGCGATGCCTCGCCGACAGGTCGGCTCGACTCTTCGGCCCCCCGAGACAGCCCCGACCTCACCTTGCCCCTCAGCAAGGGGCGCTCCAGAAAGGACCTCGCCTTCGAGAGGGGGGAGTTCACGCGTACTCCTCGGCGGAAAGCGGCGGAAGCAAACTGGGGGGGGGCTGCGCCGGCGGAAATCGGCGGGCGACCGGCGGAAGCCAATAGAAGCAAAAGTCGGCCTTCCAAGAAGTGCACATTTGTCATGGCGCCAACACCGCAGAGCGAATTTCGTTCGGAAAACAGATGAATGAGCCCAGATTGTCCCGGAGAGTTTCGTTCCGGATCTCGAGGTGGATTTCGTCAGGAGTTTGCTTGGCCAGGAATGAAGACTGCAAAATACCCACTTGACATTCATTTCATTTTCCGCTCGCCGTTTCGGGGCTGCGCATTAACAGGAATCCACGCAAAAATCCGCTGCAGCACGTTTGCAAGGCCGGCGCAGTGACATTTGGGAGGCCCAGGGCTTCTGGAGCGAGCAAGACAGCACCACCGTGTTTGGGCCCTAGGATTCGGCAGCGTGCACATCTCGTTTCGAGGTCGGCGGCAGAGCAGCGCGAGGTCGACGACATCGCTTCGGAGGGTTTTGGGCGTGTCTCAGGGCCTCGTCGCCGCGGCTGGACGTAGCTCGAAAAGCTGGTCAGGATGGACCCCCCGAAAACGTTGGGCTTCGATTTTGAGCGGATCCAAGAGGAAACAGGGTGGCGCGAGGGGAGCGACCTTCTAAAAAGGCGGTGGGCTCCTAGAAGACAGGGGCCTCCTCAGCAGGGCACGGAGGCTTCTTAGAAGCCGCGAGAGCCTCCCAGAAGGCCCCCATGCCTTCTCGGAAGTTCCCCTTGCCTCCCCAGCAGGCTGGCACGCCAGCGCCCCCGCCTGTGCGCGCGCCGCCTGACAACGGCGTATGCAGTCGGCCCGGATTCCTAGGTCGACCCTGCCAGATCAAGGGTACCCTTGTGTCCTGTGTCTCGCGACCCATGCTGCCTACATTCTTGTGGCAATGTGGCCCTCGGAAGGGTCTTATGTCCTCTCGCGTGTCCTGACCAATCGAGTCCGACTGTACGTCCTCCTCGCCTCGACCAGGCCAGGCACGGTGGTGACGGCACGTGCGCAGGTGCCCTATGCATGCGCGTGCGCTCCCTTGCCCGCGTGGCACGGGCGGAACGCCGGGCGCAGGGCGCCCTCGGTGCAAAGCACCGGCGCAGCGAGCCGCCAGGCCGGAAGCCTTCGACGCCGCGCTCTGGGCGCGCCCAGAGGCCTGCGCTGCCCCCACCGCTCTCGGGTGTTGCCAGAGGTGCCCCTGCCCCAAGGGGCCCCCAAGGATCTCCAGGATTCCCTTCGGGGATCATCTTTTAAAATGGGAGCGATACAGTGAAGATTAGCATGGCCCCTGCGCAAGGATGGCACGCACAAGTCGAGAAGTGTATACAAGGTGCCCCCAAGGATCTCCAAGGCGGCCCCCCCCCGGTCTCCACGGCACCCCTCGCGAGGCCCCGAAGGCCGGAGGAGCGCCGAGGCGGAGCGAGAAGCCGGGGGGCATCTTGGGCCAGGGGCACCCTCAGCAGCCGCCGATCCAGCCTGGCCTCGGGGGGCCATGCTCGGGCGCTCGGGCCCTTCGAGGAGCGGTCCGGGAGGAACGACGAGAGCTCCTGCGAGGGACTCGAGAGCTCCCCAGGGGCCGCGCAGCGAGGAGGTCGCGGCTTGGGGGTCGGGACGGGGGGGGGGGGCGGCGCAGCGGCTGGCGCCCCCATCTTGCGCAGGGCCGGTGGCGGCTGGCGCGACGGCAGAATCGCCCTGCTCGGCAGCCTGACACAGCCGCGAGGTGTGCGGGTGAGAATCTGGGCCTCGCGCGAGTCTTAGGCACCCCTGCCTCCTCTTTCTCCTCCTCCGCCTCCTCCGCCTCCTCCTCCTCCTTCCTATCCTCCTTCCTATCCTCCTCCTCCTCCTCCTCCTCCTCCTCCTCCTCCTCCTCCTCCTCCTCCTCCTCCTCCTCCTCCTCCTCCTCCTCCTCCTCCTCCTCCCCCTACTACTCCTACTCCATGTGCGTACCCTCATTCACCCTTCCTATCCTCCTCCGCTGCCCTATCGGCTCAGGTGTTGACAGTGAGGTTATCTTCGCCTCATCGGAGAAACCCGCTATCGTTTTCAGCCTGCGGATCTTAGGTTGGGTGGGCTTTCTGATCCTTCTCTCCTGCTTCCTGGCTCCTGACTGCTTCTGCGTCTGCCTTCAGTCCTTTTCTCCTCTTCCTCACACGATACCTGCCCCTTTTCGCGCCACCGAGCGGGTCGATATGAAGATCCAGGCGTTCCGCCCGAGGCGTCCGTGCATCTCGTGTCTCTGTAGTTGCAGGCTCCCAGGCGTGCTCGGACGGACAGCGGTCTGTTTCCAAAAGGCGGCCCTCGTTTTAGCATTGAGGGCGTTCGTCCTGAGATTTTCCGTCCGAGGTTCGACTGCATGGCGGGCAGTTTTCAAAATCGCGGCTGCCGCCCGAGAGCCGCGCACAGTCGTTCCGCAGGACTCCCAAACGGGTACGCCGACGGAGGTCGGTTCGTTTTCGGCACGTGGCTCTCGCTAAAGCTCTGCGCAAAGCAGTCTTTACAACGGCTGCACGGTGATGGTGAAGCTTGTTCAGCACGTCCGTCTCTCTTGGGACCCCCTCAACCCTCAGATGTTGTTCTCACAAAACTTTGGAGTTTGAATAAATGCACGGATGGAGGGCTGTTCCTTTTGGACATGAAGCTGCCGCCTTTGACTTATCGGCGTGTATGTATACATGTGTTCTCATGCACACACACGCACGAACAAACACACACACACACATGCAACATGTACAGCGATGTAGACTGGCCCATCTCGAAACATAACGCCGTTGGAGGCCCGTCCACGTCATAAGACCCTAACTATCGAGACGTCTAAGCTATTTCGCCTTTGCCACATGACACCAATCCTTTGCCACCAAGAGCAATGATATGTCGAACAGCTACAGGAATTGAGGGGTGACTCTCTTTCAAATTTGGGCTCTCGCCTGGGACGTCTGGGAAACGCATATGTTCAAAGCTTCTACCAGGTGCATGGATGGAGCGCGGCTCCATCTGAAATCAACTTTGGTGTGCCATGCCTCACAATAGAACGATTCTCGCCCACCGGCACCGGCACTGGCACCGGCACCGGCACCGGCACCGGCACCGGCACCGGCACCGGCACTGGCGCCGGGACCAGCACCGGCACCGGCTCCGGCACCGGCACCTGCACCGGCACCGGCACCGGCACCGGCACCGGCACCGGCACCGGCACCGGCACCGGCACCGGCACCGGCACCGGCACCGGCACCGGCACCGGCACCGGCACCGGCACCGGCACCGGCACCGGCGCCGGCACCGGCACGGCACGGGCACCGGCACCGGCACCGGCGCCTGCGCCGGCGGCATTGGCACCGGCACCGGCACGGGCACCAGCGCCGTCGCCGTCGCCGGCGCCAGCACCGGCACTGGCACCCGCACCCGCAACCGCACCGGCACCAGCCCTGGCACCGGCACCGGCACCGGCACCGGCGCCGGCGCCAGCACTGGCACCAGATGAAAAACATCATTGACATTGAACATCATGACATTTCCCAAACAGTGTTTGCATTTAGGGGGCCTTCTCTCTTTTTTCCTAGTATTAGCTGGGTCGACTGAGGGGCGGTCTGGCGGCTCTCTCCTCCTCGCCGTTGCCGCCCTGTCGCCGCCCGTCGTCGTCTGGGCTTGAGGGGCGGTCTAGTTTTTCCGTCCTTGCCGTCGCCCCCCCTTGCTGCGTCGTCGCCGCCCGTCGTCTTGGCCTGAGGGTCGGTCAGGCGGTTCCTTGCTCGTCGCCGTCACCGTCCCGTCGCCGCCTCCTCGTCGCTGCCCTGTGCGCCCCCCCAGCGGTTGCAATCCAATCGGTTGCAAGCCAATCAAGTGCAAACCCAGTGGAATCGATTGCAGTCCAATCAATGGTAAAATTATCCCGGCAAAGCAACCTAACAGCGATATGTAGAAGCATATTTGAAAGCATTCCCCTTAAGATTGAGATGAAAATCCAGTTGTAGAATTCTGCTGTTCTCGCAGTCGTAGTCGCATTCGCGATGACAGTCGCAGCGGCAACGGCAGTCGCAGTCACAGCCTCAGCCTCAGCCTGCCTCAGCCTCAGCCTCAGCCTGCCTCAGCCTCAGCCTGCCTCAGCCTCAGCCTCAGCCTGCTTCAGCCTCAGCCTCAGTCTGCCTTCAGCCTCGGCCTCAGCCTCAGCCTGCCTCAGCCTCAGCCTGCATCAGCCTCAGCCTCAGCCTCAGCCTGCCTCAGCATCAGCCTGCCTCAGCCTCAGCCTCAGCCTGCCTCAGCCTCAGCCTCAGCCTGCCTCAGCCTCAGTCTGCCTTCAGCCTCGGCCTCAGCCTCAGCCTGCCTCAGCCTCAGCCTGCCTCGGCCGCAGCATCAGCCTGCCTCAGCATTCAAAATGTGGCCCAGGAATGGAGTTCTGGGAACTAGAAGAACACGAAGTGGCCTACAGTTGGCTCCGGGCATTCAAAATCATGCCCAGGAATGGAGTTCTGGGAACTTGAAGAGCACGAAGTGGCCTACAGTTGGCTCCGGGCATCCAAAATGTGGCCCGGGAATGGAGTTCTGGGAAATCGAAGAGCACGAAGTGGCCTACAGTTGGCTCCGGGCATCCAAAATGTGGCCCGGGAATGGAGTTCTGGGAACTCGAAGAGCACGAAGTGGCCTACAGTTGGCTCCGGGCATCCAAAATGTGGCCCGGGAATGGAGTTCTGGGAACTCGAAGAGCACGAAGTGGCCTACAGTTGGTTCCGGGTACTCAAAATGTAGCCCGGGAATGGAGTTCTGGGAGGTCGAAGAGCACAAAGTGTGTGTGACTGTTGGCGAAAAGCGAGCCCGGCTTTGTTCCCGGTTCTCCAGAATGTGTCCCGGGAATGGAGTTTTCGGAAATGGAAGAGCACGAAGTGGAATGGAGTTCTGGGAGGTCGAAGAGCACGAAGTGTGTGACTGTTGGCGAAAAGCGAGCCCGGCTCTGTTCCCGGTTCTCCAGAATGTGTCCCAGGAGTGGAGTTCTAGGAGGTCGAAGAGCACGAAGTGTGTGACTGTTGGCGAAAAACGATTCCCGGCTCTCCTCCCCGGCACCCGCCCAGACCCCCTTGAGGAGTCATGATGCTCTCTTTTCACCTTACTAGAAACCTATCAGCAAACGCTGTTAGGTAATTATGCAAACGCAGTTCCCAACATAAAAGATATTATCCCTGCAAAGCAACCTAACAGCGATATGTAGAAGCATATATGAAAGCATTCCCCTTAAGATTCAGATGAAAATCCAGTTGTAGAATTCTGCTGTTCTCGCAGTCGTAGTCGCATTCGCGATGACAGTCGCAGCGGCAACGGCAGTCGCAGTCACAGCCTCAGCCTCAGCCTGCCTCAGCCTCAGCCTCAGCCTGCCTCAGCCTCAGCCTGCCTCAGCCTCAGCCTCAGCCTGCTTCAGCCTCAGCCTCAGTCTGCCTTCAGCCTCGGCCTCAGCCTCAGCCTGCCTCAGCCTCAGCCTGCATCAGCCTCAGCCTCAGCCTCAGCCTGCCTCAGCATCAGCCTGCTTCAGCCTCAGCCTCAGCCTGCCTCAGCCTCAGCCTCAGTCTGCTTCAGCCTCAGCCTCAGTCTGCCTTCAGCCTCGGCCTCAGCCTCAGCCTGCCTCAGCCTCAGCCTGCCTCGGCCGCAGCATCAGCCTGCCTCAGCATTCAAAATGTGGCCCAGGAATGGAGTTCTGGGAACTAGAAGAACACGAAGTGGCCTACAGTTGGCTCCGGGCATTCAAAATCATGCCCAGGAATGGAGTTCTGGGAACTTGAAGAGCACGAAGTGGCCTACAGTTGGCTCCGGGCATCCAAAATGTGGCCCGGGAATGGAGTTCTGGGAAATCGAAGAGCACGAAGTGGCCTACAGTTGGCTCCGGGCATCCAAAATGTGGCCCGGGAATGGAGTTCTGGAAACTCGAAGAGCACGAAGTGGCCTACAGTTGGTTCCGGCCACTCAAAATGTAGCCCGGGAGTGGAGTTCTGGGAGGTCGAAGAGCACGAAGTGTGTGACTGTTGACGAAAAACGAGCCCGGCTTTGTTCCCGGTTCTCCAGAATGTGTCCCGGGAATGGAGTTCTGGGAAATCGAAGAGCACGAAGTGTGTGACTGTCGGAAGCGAGCCCGGCTCTGTTCCCGGTTCTCCAGAATGTGGCCCGGGAATGGAGTTCTGGGAGGTCGAAGAGCACGAAGTGTGTGACTGTTGGCGAAAAACGATTCCCGGTTCTCCTCCCCGGCACCCGCCCAGACCCCCCTGAGGAGTCATGATGCTCTCTTTTGACCCTACTAGAAGCCTATAAGCAAACGCTGTTAGGTAATTAACAGTTTCGTGGGACCCATGGGGTACGACAACATCAACACGAAGGAGAAGCTCACAGAACGAGTAAGTACGCACGAAAGGGCAGACGAAAGAAAGGAGGAGGGAGGACAGGTGCTCAGGAAACGAAGCCTTGTAAATAGTACGGGTTGTTGATACCCTCTTCGCTCTGGCGGGGCCCCGCTGGAGGGGGGGAAGCTTACGAAACCTGGTAAAGAGTAATGCTGTCCGCGACCCTCCTCGTTCAAGCGAGTCCTCCTCCTCCTCCTCCTCATCCTCGGCATCATCATCATCATCATCACCAGCATCATCGTCGTCATCATCAGCATCATCAGCAGCATCGTCGTCACCCCGTCGCCGTCGTCATCATCAGCGTCATCGTCATCATCATCAGTATCAACATCATCAACATCATCATCATCATCGTCAGCATCATCGGCATCATCATAACCATTATCATCACCCTCATCATCATCATCAGCATCATCATCATCGCCAGCGTCATCGTCATCATCATCATCGTCGTCGCCACCATCGTCATCATCATCATCATCAGCATCGTCATCATCATCACCATCACCGTCCTTGGCATCATCATCGTCCGCATCATCGTGGACGTCATGATCATCAGCATCATCGTCGTCTCATCATCATCAACAGCACCAGAAACGTCAGCATCAGCAGCAGCATCGTCATCATCACCAGCATCTGCATCATCATTCTCGTCGTCATCGCCATCGTTGTCATCATCGTCATCATCATCATCGTCATCATCATCCGCATCATCAGAATCACCGTTATCGCCACCGTCATCGTCCATCACCATTATCACCATCGTCATCGCCATCGTGAACAGCAGTATAACCATCGTCATCACCATCATCATCATCATCATCATCATCATCATCATCATCATGAAGCCTTCCTCATCGCAGAACTCCCCCTCTTCCTCACCCTCCTCAGTGGGAGGAGTAGGACGTGAGATGGATCGGTAATTTTCTCCCCTCCTCCTCACCCATGTCAGTGGGAGGGGCACGAAACCATTTAAATAGTATGGGTTTCCGATACCCTCCTCGCTCAGACGGGGCCTCCCTGGAGAGGTGGGAGGGGCACGAAACCATGTAAATAGTACGGGTTCCTGATACCCTCCTCGCTCAGGCGGGGCCTCCCTGGAGGGGTGGGAGGGGCACGAAACCATGTAAATAGCATGGGTTTCCGATACCCTCCTCGCTCAGGCGGGGCCTCCTTGGACAGGTGGGAAGGGCACGAAACCATATAATGAGTATGGGTTTCCGATACCCTCCTCGCTCAGGCGGATGGAAAGGGCACGAAACCATGTAAATAGTATGGGTTTCCGATACCCTCCTCGCTCAGGCGGGGCCTGCTTGGAGGGGTGGGAGGAGCACGACACCATGTAATCTTTATTAATTTCCTATACCCTCCTCGCTCAGGCAGGGCCTCCATGGAGAGGTCGGAAGGGCACGAAACCATGTAAATACTACGGGTTTCCGATTCCCTCCTCGCTCAGGCGGGGCCTCCCTGGAGGGGAGGGAGGGGCACGAAACCATGTGAATAGTTTTGGTTTCCGATACCCTCCTCGCTCAGACGGGGCCTCCCTGGAGGGGTGGGAGGGGCACGAAACCATGTAAATAGTATGGGTTTCCGATACCCTCCTCGCTCAGTCAGGCGTGGCCTCCCTGCTGGAGGGGTGGGATACCCTCCTCGCTCAGGCGGGGCCTCCCTGGAGAGGTGGGAAGGGCACGAAACCATGTAAATAGTACGGGTTCCCGATACCCTCCTCGCTCAGGCGGGGCCTCCCTGGAGGGGCGGGAGGGGCATTGCTGGGAGGCGGGAGGCGGGAGGGAGAAGGAGAGGATGTTCTGGGAAAACAAGAACCCGCACCAGCACCGGCACCGGCACCGGCCCCTGCACTGGCACCGGCACCGGCACCGGCACCGGCACCGGCACCGGCCCCTGCACTGGCACCGGCCACCAGCACCGGCACCGGCACCGGCACCGGCACCAGCACCGGCACCGGCACCGGCACCGGCACCGGCACCGGCACAGGCACCGGCACCGGCACCGGGGCAAGAATCGTTCTTGCCTTCCATGCCTTGCGGCCAAATGAGTTGCCGGGCATGGTACATTGGTTTCTCACCATGCAAGCCTATGGACCTTTCACCTTGTCAGCTGGTGCGTGCTATCGTGAAAGTAAATGTGTGTGACGACTTATGTGGTGGGGACGTGTGACTGAAGAATGTATTGCAGCGTCAGTGGTCTGTAGAGTTCGGCTCCGTTTGTCCTCCTCATCTTCCATCCTCCTCTCCCATTCCACCCAATTCGTATTTTCCTCCCTCTCCTCCTCTCCGCCTTTCTCCTCCTCCCCCTCCTCCTCCTCCTCTCCCTCCTCCTCCTCCTCCTCCTCCTCCTCCTCTTCCTCCTCCTCCTCCTCTTCCTCCTCCTCCTCCTCCTCCTCCTCTTCGTCCTCCTCCTCCTCCTTCTCCTCCTCCTCCCTCTCCACGCCAACTCTACACTTCTTTTCTCTTAGTCGCCTTCTCTCCCATCATCTCCTGATTAGTTGGCTCCCCATGTCACCTCTCTCCGAGTCGTCTCTCCACATCCACCTGTTTCTATATTCCATTCCAGTAACAGTCCTCCAACTCATCTTCGACCTCATCTCTCTCCTATCGGAGTGAGGGGGCCGAACGGTCTTTCACTGTCCCTGGGTGCTTGGCTGAAGTGGGATTCCGCGATGCGGATTATTATTGTGTGTTACTGTTGTTGGTGTTGTTGTTGTTGTTGTTGTTGCTGGTGCTGCTGCTGTTGTTGTTGTTGTTGTTGTTGTTGTTTGGCGTCGTCCCACCCGCGACCCGCCCCGCGACCCACCCTCGACCCACCCCGCGACCCACCCGCGGCCCACCCGCGATCCACCCGCGACCCACCCGCGACCCGCCCGCGACCCACCCGCGACCCACCCGCGACCCACCCGCGACCCACCCCGCGACCCTCCTGCGACCCACCCGCGGCTCACCCCGCGACCCGCCCGCGCCCAGCCCGCGACCCACCCGCGACCCACCCGCGACCCTTCCCGCGACCCACCCACATTGCTTTAACGAAAAAATCGGCGCTTGCGGCGAGATCGTTCTACAACTTGTGAGAAGTTAGGCGCCTGCGGCGGGCTTCTTCAGAGCTTCGCAGCCTGCCGACGTCCCCGCCGCCCCCTCACTCGTATCCGCGACTGCGGGGTGCCACGTATTTCTGTCTTTTCCTCCTGCTCCCGCCTCCCCCACCTGCCCCTCGCGAGTCGCTCTTCCACTCCCCTCCGCTTAGCCGAGCGAGCGTGCATGATGGCCATGAGAAGTCCTGACATCATGCCTGCAGGCTCGTCAGATGGTGCATAGAAGCTTTGATATTTGCCCCGTAGGAGTGTGATGGGCCAGGCGCTCGATGCATCAGCAAGAAAATTGGCACTTGATCCTGCCATCACCCTCCTTACCTCGCAACCCACACACACACATCTGCCAGGCACATGCCCTAACATCCGACGTTGTGATTTGTTCCATGCGCGGTTCCAGAACTCCCGACCCCTTCTCCAGAGGCAAATGTTCGCTTCCGTATCATGTTCGGTGGTCGAAGTCAAAGAAAGAATCCATGCTTACACTCACGGGTCTTTGCTTCGAAGGAGCTGGGCCCGTCTGTGGGCCCAGCGGTCCCGGTCCCCTCCGTCGCCGCCCCATGTTCCAAAACACAAGGCCGGTTTGCTTACCAGGCGGCCCCGTTCTCATCTGTCGCCGCACCACATAGTTTACACCACAGAGCTGACACCCCATTGATTGCACCACGCACATCGCATCACGTAGATTACGCAACATAGCGCGCACCACACAGCTTGCACCACGTAGACAGCAACACATAGCTTGTACCACATGGCTTGCACTTGCACCACATTGCCTGCACCACGTAGAGTCCACCACATCGATTACACCATAGCTTGCGCACCATGGCTTGCACCACGTAGCCCGCACCACGCAGATTTCACCACGTAGATTGCACCACACAGCTTGCAACAGATAGGTTGCACCACATACTGCACCACATAGCTTGCACCACGTAGCCTTCTCCGCGCAGATCCCACCATATTACACCATTTAGCTTGCAACTTTAGCTTGCACCACATAGCTTGCACCGTATAGCTTACACCACATGGTTGCACAATATCGCTTACCCTCACTTTGACCTGGACGGGGGGGGGGGGGGCGCGAGGTGTCAGAGGGTTTTTGTTGTCGCCCAAGATGGGTTCAACAGAGTCTCAGAGAGCCCAAGATAGCTTCCAAGACCGCTCAACATAGCCCAACATGGCTCAATATAGCTAATTACGTGCTTCCAGGAGGCCCCAAGAGGGTTACAAGACGCTTCCAGATGCTTTTGGCGACCCCGCAGGACCTCCCCGAGAAGCCAAAATCGTTCAAACACATATGGAAAACCATTGATGTTTGCCTTCTCGCCTTTTCGTTGCCCCAAGATCGCCCCTAGAACGCCCCAAGAGGTTATGTCGATAGCCCCGGAGGGGGGAGGCAAATCGAGGAATGGTCTCCAAGACGGCCCCAGGAGGCGCTCCATAGCTCCCAAGTGGGCCCCAAGAGAGCCCCAACAGAGCCCCAAGAGGGCCCCACGAGGGCCCCAAGGCGCTCCAAAAGAGCCCCTAGGGGACCCCAATATCCCCCAAAGAGCCCCAACAGGGCCCCAAGATGCCGAAAAGTGTTCCAAGAGGACCCCAATATCCCCCAATACAGCCCCGTAGCTCGAAGAAGGCCTCCGATGCCCCAAGATCGCCTCCAAGGTGGCTCAACGGCCTCCTTCCTCTCCTCTCCTTGCACGCTCTGTTTCACTATATGTGTCTCTTCTCTCCATTTCCCGTCAGGACTCATGGGCAGGCTCCCGCATGGGTTGGTGGGGATTCGCGAAGCGTAAACAAGAACGCCTTCGGTTGAGCTGCTTACGGTTGAAGTGGAGAGAGACATCCCCTTCTTCCGCCAGTGCCCCATCTGGCGCATGGTCGGCAGCCGACAGGTGGCACGCAGCACGGCTGCTCGAGGGAGATGCCAGTGATGTTGGGCATCGATTTTCCAAGCGCCTCTGCTCAGCCATCCTGTCACGGTGGATCTTTATCTTCGGACCCTTCAGAACTTTGGTCTTGGACGGCGAACGAGGCATTCTTGGGACCGAAGCAAAGTCGTTCTTCGATCGACATGGCATCGTAATCCGAGTACGAGCCCCAGACCAACACGCGCGAATGATCGAGCGACGCGGTGCGATCTTCCGACATACCATATATTGCATCGGCGAACGATTTAGGCCTGAAGGCTTACGAGTCACCATGCCTGACCCTTTGTCCGAGGCAGGCTTTGCTGGCCACTCGCTGATATCGCCGCCCCTTACGACGCCAGACTTGGCCGACTGCCAAGGATGTTTCCGGAGATGATGGCGTGTAACCCCCACCGACTACGAGAGACCGCATTGCAACGGATCGTTAAGGCTTCAGCCATTTCATGAACCAACCGCGCGTCAGAGACCCCCGCCACAGTCCCTGGACAAACCTTGGAGTGCAAGCCAGGAGGGCTTGTCGACTTCTACCGCGATCCACCCACCAAGGACGCGGGCGGCTGGATGGACCAGCGGCCGCCCTGAAAATGTGTACCCAAGATGGCAGTGTGACTGTTAGTTACCGAGGCGCTGAGCAGCTACGCCGCCTGAGCGATGCACCACGGCCCATGGATTTTGGAAGTTGCTCTACAGAATCACCAGCCAGACTACGACACCAGACGGTCAGGCATGGATGGTTGTAGAACAGCAGATCTTCATCCTCACGGCGGAAGCGCTACAACAATGTGGTCTTGCTGACACCGACACCCTCACCACGGTGACCACTTCGCGGCGCCAAGTTGCCATCGGTCTCGAGAACCTCGCCAGGAACCTGTGTAATCTCACAAGGGTCGTCGCTGTCCAAGTGCAACGCGGTCTCGAGTGCATCGCAACCGAGGACAGCCAAGACGGACCACCCCTGGCATGCAAGACGGACCACCCCTGGCATGGCGGAGATTGGGCCCACGCGCGGTTGACATTTGGTGGAGGACCATGGCTGGCCGACTCAGCCTTCGTAAGCCCAGATCGCAGCAATATCTGTTATCTATCATTTGTCATGGGGAAAATCGATGGCCGCTACTTTGGAGATCCCGTGGAAGACGAGCTTCAAAGGGCGGACATGCGGGGCGGCAGTGCCGAATCATATGAGACAGGCGCGCACCTTTACGAGTCTGCCCACGATGATCGTCGACTCTCAGCCATCCAGGACGGGCCCTGCGAAGATTCCTCGAGCGACCCATACCTCGTCGACCCGACCTGGTGGGCATCCCTGGCGGCAGAACAAGAGACCGTCATGCATGATGCCCCCGCGGCAGGCGCAGTGAGCTGCGACTCCCTCCGGGAGACCGGGCCGCGGCCAGCCCCGTTATTTCCACCGCCAGTCACTTTTGACTTGGAGGTGCAACTTCACCGCCACCACTTAGATGTCGATGCTGAACCTCTAGCGCCTCTGGAGGCCATCGACTTCGACGGCCACGGGAATTTGCATGCGGAGACACTGGCCCCCGACGAAATGCACAAGCTGATCTTTGACCATCCAGCACTTGACGGGAACTCTGCCCGAAGCAGCGTCTAGGTGGCAGGATCAAGGAAGGCGGCGGTCGAGTTCGACGCAGACCTACTCACCCGTTACGAATGCCAAGTGAGTGCGCGCTGCGGCCGTAGCCGCGGTTGTGCTCGATGAGCTCCACGCATGGGTAGACCGCGACAGCATGTCACGGCGACCGCGAAGAGGAGCCAGGAGCATCGTGGATTGCAGGCGGGCGGGCCGATTGAAGTGGACGCGGAAGAAGACGGACCCCACGCAGAAGGTGCGGATCATGCGCGCGCGGCTGAACTCGCGAGGCTTCAAAGACATCGGCGCCGACCTCATCGCCACTTTCGCGGGCCCCTCCCCACGACTTTCACAGCGAGTGAACGCTTCGGAGGCAGCTTGCCGATGACGGGCGATCGACGCGCGGGATGCAAAGAAATCCTTCCCCAGAGGAGTTAGCTACACAGACCTCGCAGAGGCAACGGGCGAGGGCGAGCGCCAAGTCAATTTCGGGCTCTCCCCTGCGCAGTCCTTCGCAGAATAGGGCGCGAGGACTTCAATCCAGCCCTCGAGTTCCTTCGCGCGGAGAGGCCTGGCGCCGGTTGCAAGGGCGCGCCGAGGCGCTGGTCCATCCAATTCACTTAGGCCACCAACGGCTTATATCAGGCCGTCTCCACATTATGCCACACGGAGTTCGTCTCTAAGCACCGCAACGGCGAGCTACGTCTCCGAGCTACTCAGCACGCCAACGACATCAAGGTGGCAGGATCTCCTGCAGAGAAACTAAGCGTCGCATGCGTTTAGAGGCTTCCTCTGGCAAGTGTGAGCTGGGTGTCTCCGAAGGAACTTCTACACGTTGCGCGGCCCGACATTCACTTGCAAATGGTGGCGATTCCGAAATGGGCCAGACCAACTAAATACATGCCCTCAAGCCCATCGGATGTGTTACGCTCGTTGGGAATGCCAACTCCCGATGGCCCAGCAAAGCTAGTCCTCGGCCTCGCTAGAGTTTCGGCGTTCACCCTCATCGCGCGCAGTGACCATCATGTTTACGCGGTCGCACTGCAGCGCCGCAGGCGGCGCCCAGCGCGGCCACGTACACGAAGTCAACGCGCTGGCCAGGTGGGCGCAAGGGGGCACAGCGAAGATTCACCACCCAGCCATCAGGTGCGCAGGTAAGCTTGAAATCCACACAGACGCAGCGCATCGCAAGGAACAAATGGACGGCGCGCATGCAGGTCGCGCCCTGCGCGGTGCAGCACGCCTGCGCACGGGCGCCGCATTCTCGGATGGACTCGCGAGAGGCTGCGTCGATCGCGCAGCAGTCCACTGTCTCCAGCGGGCACCGCAGGAGAGACCGCATTCCATATGGCGCCACCCCCAACGCCGCGGACAAGCTAGCCGCATTATCAACATGAGCGTCAGCCTGTGGAGGGTGGTGATCAGCAGTGACACGTGCGACCGCCGTGCTCCGTTCTGGCCTGGCTAGAAATTACCTCTTCCTCATCTTTCACCTGGAGGTGCCGGGTCTGCTTTCGCGTTGGCCAGGATCGACAAGCCCATTGCGCGAGTGCCATTTTGTCTCGACTGGGGAATCGGCGCGGCAGGTACCAGGCGGAATTGCTATTGATGTAGCTGGGGGTGGACTGGCATGCGCTGCAGTGCACGATGCGATGCACGCGCGCGTGTTC